TACCTAATTGTTCATTCATACTTGAATCTACCTTCAGATAACTTGCTGAAATACAAACTAGCTGTTAGTAAAAGCCTGGAGGTGACCCTTTAATTCTACGCCAAAAACCAGTTTAAAGAACTTCAGTTAGCTGTAAATAGCATTAATGCTTCTGTTGTAATGTATCAATAGTTCAGGGTGTGGTACTGTGGTGGAAACAACAGCCAACTCTGGTGGAAAGAACTGCTGTTTTCTAAACACAGCTTGTAGAGTAAAACTAAAGCAATGTGCCGCTCAGGAACTGTGTTTCTTCAGCTTTCTGAGCACTCTTGTGTTGGTCTAGTATTTGAGTGGAATCCCAAGCCCATTTGTATGAAGTGAGTTCATCTTTGCATGAATTCAAGCTGATTTGTGGACAGACTCTTTTGGTTGGGATTCACCAGAAACAAAATATGGCCAGTGACTCTCATGGCCCCCTCCTGGAGACTGGGCTGAGAACACACCTCGCACTGTGGAGGACTGGAGATAGGACACTTGGCAGACCAAGGCGACAGTGGACAAGCTGGCCTTGCCCGGAGAAGAAAGCTGTTTGGAGAACAAAGTAATAAGCTCCACTGACAGAATGTATGTTGCATTTTATTTTGGAAGGAAGGGAGGGGTACCCCATGTATAGAATATACCATATCTAGGCATGCTTGCCAAAGCTGCTCAGCCTGCTGCTGGTTGCTTAAACGTGTCTTGCAAAAAGGGCCATTCCTGCCGATGTCCTGTCTCCGCTGCTGCTGTATTGCAGAAGGTTTTAGTTAAGATCGTTGTCTCCTGCTGACAGTAGAGTCCAGCCTGCTGGTTTCATGCCCTGCCCAGCTGCCCTCCTCATCCAGGCTGCTCTGTTTTTTTCCTCTCTGAACCCACCCTTTATCCCACTGGAGAAGTTCCTCTGGGTAGGGTGAGATTGTCTTCAAATAAACTGGAATACCAGGGCCACTAGGTTTTCTTTGTGTGAATCTAACAAAGAAAAACCATTGCCCCTGTGTTTCTGAAAATGAGAAATAACGGTTTCCATGGATGGAAACTGAGGCTGCCTGGTTTATTAGGAGAATTGTCTATAGAAAAATGTATTGTATGGTGGCAGCTACTTGAACAGAGCAGTCAGGAGTACTTTTGTTGAAAAAAAAAATGTAAAAGAGCCCCAGTAGGTTAGCCAGGAAAACAAGCTGCTCTTGTGCCATTTTCTGAGAATAATGCATAATAAGCTGTGGGCTGATGGCACGGAAGAACTTTTTAATAAAGTAAACTTTCCTTTATTAAAGTGTGTGGGGATGGGGGAAGAGTATGCGAAGCCAAATGTAAAGTAAGATGGCTCCTGCAGGAATTGCAGAGTGTAGTAATGAATGCAGAGGCTGCTGCCTGTCAGAGCTGTATACTGCCCAGGGTGAGGACTTGGCTAACTTCGCAGTTTCTACTGGGTGGGCTCCAGTGAAGTGCTGCGTCTCAGAGCATGCATGGAAATGCTTTCTGTGAAGGTGGAGTAGCTGTCATAGTGTGGGATAAGCTCAGCCTTTCAAATTACATGCGACTTGCCCCCAACAAATCTAAGCCAGTTTGAAAGCCTAACATCACTTGAATCCTCCTTAACATGTTGCAAAGCTCTGCGCACACCTGAAATGGCAGTAAGTATGCTGGGGATGCTCTCTGGCAACTTGAACTCAAGACCAGAGCTGCTGTTTGCAGCCCCTAGTTGTTTCCGGTTTTTGTGGGAAATCTTTCACACACCTTCCAAGTAAACCTCTTGGGTACTAAAATACAAATTCTGTGAAAGACTTCAGCCTCTTTTATTTTCCTCTACTGGCTCAATAAAAGGCTCCTTTTATTGGATCTAAGGGTCTGACTGCTTAGCAGGGCTGAGGGACAGTTAGCATGTGCAAGCTGATCCAAAATGCAGTGACTGGCATGAAAGAATCACTTCTCCAAAGGTGTGCATGAAACCAGGCAAGAACTGCATCAAAATGTTTTGTTTTTTTTATTTTGTTTTGTTCTCCCCTTCTGGAGGTGCTGTAAATGTGCTGCAATTCTTGTAGCCATGCTTGAGGCTGGCTACTCTTCAACCTGGCTCCCTTGCCTTTTTAGGATTCTTATCTTGTTCAACTCAATAGAAAGTTCACTCCATAGGTCAGTGGCCTCTAATCTACACTTGGCATGAACAAGTTGCCAGGGGCAAGGGATTAACCCTTCCCTGGAGTTAAAAGCCTCAATTTTCTTGGCTGAAGAGGCCCTGGGGTCTGATAGAAGAAGGGAAATTGAAATCCATAGAGCAGAATTCATTAGCATGCCTCTCTCGTCAGAAAGCCTCAGCTGGAGGAAGGATCAGGAAGGCTTGCAGTAGTCTTGGAGCTTCATTTTTTTTGCTTATGCTTTTGAAGTACATCAAGCTTTTTGCTATAAACCTCTAACCACCGAAAAACAAAATCTTGGCTCGAGAACACTCGTTGCCTTGGCGTCCATCCTGGGCCTGAGTGACTTATGTTTCTGTTTGGTGGGAGGATTCCTCCTCTCTATTTTAGACGAGTTGGGTCACATTGCTCTGGAGCCTAAACTCCCTTGGAGACTAGAGTCTCTCTCTCTCTTAAATGACATCAGTCAGAACTTGAGTGCTATTTAAAAACAAAAGGAGGGGAAAACCCCCGGTGCTCTCTGCCAAGAGAGAACAAAGAACAGCCAAAGTGCATAGCTTCTGGCACTTTACATGGAAATAAAACATTCATCCCCATGTCAGGTAGGGAGCTGCCTTTTGCATCCTTGACCCAACCTGGCACAGCTCAAATACAAAACAATCCTGAACACAGTGCTGGAGAGGGGGATGCCCTGGGTGATCTAATTCCAGGAGGTTTCTCTGCCAAGCTTCTGGTCTGGTCCTGCAAACAATCCAAAGAGCAGGCTAACAGTTTCAATCCCAGGACAGTTACCAACATAAACCCTGGGTGAGGGATGGGGAAGGAGACAGTGCACAGGGATCCTTCCTTTTGTCCTCTCTCTTAAGTGCCTGACACTGGATGTAACAGGCCCTGCGTGCCCTCGCTGTCCTGCAGGAGGCCAGTGTAAAGTATGGGGTGGTATGTTCTTGCTTGCCCATAGGCTGCTTGGGAAGACATTCCTCGGATATCCCAGGAGGCAGCTCTGCACCACCCTTACTTGGGCTGCCCCTAAATGGCACTATCTAGGGCAGGAGTGGCCAGTATATGGTACAAATACCACAGGTGGCATGGGCCGCCCGTGTGTGACACATGGCAAACTGGGCAAGGAATAGGACAGAAAACAGATCAGCTGATCAGGCAGGGAAGAGGATCAGAGTGGCACTCGAGGAGGGTGCGGGGCTAATTGGTGGCACCCCTGCCAAAACATTTGTCCCTTACCAATCCAGGGCAGACTGCTTGAACCTTTGACATTTAGCATTAACACTTAATTGCCCTATCACACTGTATGGCAGTGGTTTTCAACCTATGGTCCGTGGACCCCTGAGGGTCTGCAGACTGTTTTGAAGGGGTCTGCAAAAGATGACTATGATCAATCAAAAGCATGTGAATACCCACTCTTAAATTGAAAGCGGGTCCACACCTCTCTTTGAAACTTTTTAGGGGTCCACAAATGAAAAAAGTTGAAAACCACTGCTGTAGGACATCATCTCTCTCCAAGTGAGTAGAAGAGCCTATTGTCTCAAAACACAGGACACCCCTTCAGATAATCAAGGTTTCTCTGTCTTGCAAAGACATCCTCTTGGCACTCTGCAAGTCTCATGATTGCTCTGGAGTCCCTGCCCTGTAGCTTCCTACAGTGGAGAATTACTACCTGGATGGTTCAGGAAATGGACACCTGTCAGCTTGCTTCATCCAGATAAAATTTCCTCTAACTACATCAGCAGCTACTATACCAGCTGCCTGACTCTTGCCTGTGACTTTACTCTACCACATATCCTAGTAAAGGGTTTAGCTGATGGAGTTGTCAGACATCCTTTTCAGATGAATAGGAGTTCTGCAAATAGTAGGAGGGTATGATCTTAGCTTTGTGGAATGATTGCATTTCAGGTTGTGCAAAAGAGGGTAATATAACATGCACTTCCAAGTTGGATTCAGTGACTTGTGACTGTCCAGGAGATAATCCCTGTTTGCCTCATTCTGTGCAATTAGACATTTTTCCATTGTCCCTGTTGCATACTGCCTGCATGCATAGTTCTTAGAGTCTTGCGGTGTTGAAATAAGAAATACCTCTGCCTTTTTTATTATCTGTGTATCCCACTGAATGGATCTAAGGAAAACAACTTTTCTCAGGAAAGATTTCACATTTTGTATGAGACTTTTCTGTCTTTTGAGTACAGCCCCTCAGAAGTATTTACATTACTACAGTATGCAATCTGTCTGGTAACAAATTCCACATGTCAGAGGTGAACTGTCCTCTCCAGTATAGTTATTCGCTTGCTTAAAACAGACTCAAAATGTAGTGACCAAAGCAGCTGTTTTTCACAGGGGAATAAAAATAAGCTTTTCGTATTAACTTTTGGATGGTTCAAGAGGTAAAATCCATGTAAAAAATGCTGGAGTTCATGAAAAATCTTGACTACTCAAATTTCAATGTAATGGTTGCACCTTGGGACCGAGGCAATACTCTGCCCTTTCCTAAAGAGGAGCTCTGAGGAGTAGGGAGAAGATATCTAGTAATTGTGCTGTATGGTACTCTCTTGATTTCTTATCTTGCTTATCCCACAGAAAAATGTGATTCCATTCACTTCAAGGTTGTGCCTCAACGTAAGTGGTGGGTTGGGAGTTGACACCCAATGACTTGGTTTGGGACAGTGATGATGGGGACAAAACAGGAGAAGGTTCCCCAATGCTCCTTTCCTTTCCAGCCTTTAAAGTTTTCTCCACTGTCTAAAATACTGCACTACACTAATACGCTCTCTGGGCTGGATTTGGGTAGCAAAAATCCACTGTATTCACTTCCATGGGTTCCTTTCTTTTTTCCCCCCTCAGAGCAAATCATGGCGGAAGATCAAGAATATGGTGCATTGGTCCCCCTTTGTTATGTCCTTCAAGAAGAAATACCCTTGGATCCAACTGGCGGGTCATGCAGGTATGGGACATCAAGCTGTGCTATATAAAGCCCAAGGAGATGCTCCTGAGCATGAAACTAATGAAAGGGCAGAGCATCAGGCAGGTTCTCAACTGTTAAGCTAATTAGCTGTGTTAGCCTAAATTGTCTCCGAATTAATTTCACAGGGTTTAATTTGTTAAGCCTCTAGGGAAGCCCAGGGCTGTGGGAGCAACTGATCTTAAATAGCACAAAGTAGAGGTGAAGGAAATTCTAGCATATTGTGCTTGTAAAGTGTAGTCTCTACAGTAGGTGGTTGCTTAGGACTGCTGCCAGCTTTTGGAGTTACTCATGTCTGTCAAGTGGTGGAGGTTTGTGCTTTCCTCATGGAGGACCTCCGTTCAAACTCTGCCACTGACTGAAGGTAGGAGGTGATGTTAAGTTCTCCTCCTACCAGTTTCTGAGAGTTCCAGCTCTTAAGGACAGTGATTGGGGGGAAGAGGAGACAGAGTCCTCTAAACAGGACTAATCTTCAGTAGAAATTACTGTGATGAGTTTTAGCTGTAAACTCAAGTGGGAGTGAATCAGTCCTAGCAGCAGTGATGATCATTCGCCTTTGACACTAAATAAAACCATCAGTAGAAGCTTGTTAACCATTCACAGCACTTCTGAGTGTTTAACCTTTAAAATATTGTTTGGGTAGGGAGGTGGACAGGGGAAGGAGACTTGAAATTCCTGGCCTGTCTTCCTCTACCTGGCAAGGTGTCCTGCTCCAGAGCTAAGGCAAGTCTTGTATTGTCTTCTGTCTTGCAGGAAGCTTTAAAGCAGCAGCTAATGGCAGGATACTGAAGAAGCACTGTGAATCTGAGCAGCGCTGCTTGGACCGCTTGATGAATGATGTCCTGAAGCCCTTTGTTCCTGCTTATCATGGGGACGTAATGAAGGATGGGGAGCGGTACAATCAGATGGATGACCTGCTGGCTGAGTTTGACTCCCCCTGTGTTATGGACTGCAAGATGGGAGTCAGGTGAGTACTGTTTACTGCATTCCCTTGTCTTTGTAGGAAAAACATGATGCTGAAGTTTGAAAGTGCAGAACTCGCAGCAAACTTAATTCTGGAAGGAAATAAATATCCAAAATAAAAATTGGTGTAACAAGCTTCCCTGGATCTAAATGACTTACCCAGGTCATGTGGGTTTAGCAGCAGCATGACAGGCTCTTTATATTCTCAGCCTGATGACCTCCTGGCACACTGTGGAAGGATAGCTGCGGGGACTGTTGCGTTAGTTTGCTGCAATAGCCCATTGCTATTCTGCTGGCCTGGGGTGGCAGCTTTTGAGGAAGTAGTCTACTGTGCTCTCCCAGCTACAGGAAGGCATTGATCTACAAGCTGGGGTGACATGTTGCAGGAGTTTTAGGGGGTAAAATAGCAGTCCTTGAATGGAAGTAGCTTTAAAATGGTAAGTAGGTAAAGCCTCCATGAAGCTTTGCCCAGGAGTTCCCATGACAAATTCTCTTAAGATGAGGAAGGGAGTAGCATTGCCATCAGCAGTCAGACATCGCATGTCATGACTGAAGGATTTCAGTCATGTCACACAGCCATGTTGGGCTCCATGGTTAAAAGAACTACGGAGCTGCACTCATGTCTGGAGGGAAGAACAGCATTGTCCTCTCTTATTTTATGTTGGTGGAGTATATTTTAGCTTGGAGCTGTCCAGCTTCTAGGTGTGTGGGGTACACATGCTACACAGGCCACACCAGGAGGACCACAGGCTGCATGCCACACAGACGCGCCCCTCCCTCTCCGCCTCCACTGCACCATATACCCATGTGTCCCTGGCCTTGCCCGTGGCTCAGTGCTGTGTTGAACTGTGCTGCATCCTGGGATGGGTACAGAAAGCAGAAGTGCAGGGAGCCTGGAGAATCTGGCAGCTGCTACAGGCAGAGCCATGATGGGAGCAACAGCCAGACTGGAGTCTAGGGGTCTCAATTAGTCCCTTGTGCGCCACCACATGTGGCCCACCAGTTGGACAGCCCTGTTCTAGCTCACTCAAGAGTAGGCTGCAACCAGTAATTTTCTGGAAGATGTCCTAGTAAAGCGTTGGGCCTTGGAATAGCTTATTCAAGTAGCCCTGTTCATTAGTGTCAAGGCCTTCATCGCTGCTGTCACTGCTAGTTCTTCAGTATGTCTTCCTCAGTCTCTCATTGCTTCACATCTGACCTCAAAGTAAGGGAAAGGTATGAGAGCTTTCCTTCTGCTATTACATTCATGTCTGCAATATAGCATATGTATGCATTCTTTCTCTGAGGTTCTTGGACATTATTGTCCTTGCTTGTCTTGAAGCCCATTTGTGAAGTATTTAACTTCAGTCCTGCACATATTTAACTGCTCAGTCCTTAAAGACATGGCAAATCCTGTTGGCTCTGGGGAGGATGAAGGGGTGGGAATGAGTAAGCAAAAGTTGAATGAGCAACGTTTGCAGGATCAGGTGCACAAATGGTGATGCTGCAGCCCAGCCAGACTGCACAGATCTGGCTGGCTTAGTTATTGCAGGAGGGAGGGGATCGGGATCTGAAATGCATCTCAGATGTAGTGGAGACTGGTTCTTTCTGAAAAAGCTGATGGTTCTTGTTGGCTAGAGGAATATTTCCCCCCCTCGTTCCCTTTCCTGGCACGTGCCTCCTGTGCTTGTGCATCAGAAACAGAACTGTTCTTTCCTTTGTAGGGGTGAAGGCATTGCTAAGGGAGTGCTGGTAATCTCCAAGCTAGCTACATATCCTGCTCCAGCATGGCCTGAGGTGTACCTTGAAGGAAATGTGAACTGAGTCTGTTACCTGGGGAGACAGTTAAATATTGTTCATCTATTATCTGCTGCTCTAGTAACTCTTCTCATGTGCTTCTGTTAGCATCTCTGAGAGAAGTCTTGCTCATAGACACTGTTTTGATTGGACTCTGCCAGCATGAAAGGGGAGTGAGGTTCAAGTTACTGCATGAACAAATGGAAAAACATTCTGAACAGGTGAAACTGATGTTTTGCCCATAAAAGCACATCGTTGTCAAACAGCTCATGGGAGTTTGTTTCCTTTTAAAATGTGCGTGCACCGGCAGTAACCTGTAGGCCTGGCTTGTGTCAATCAGCCTCCTGCTTGTCAGGTTGAAAGGGGGTTGCATGTCTTAGTGATTCTCAGCCAGGGTGCCATGGCACCCTGGAGTACTTTGAGATCCTTTCAAGAGTGCTGCGGGGTGCCATGCACCATTAGCACTACCATGCGTGCAAACATGATTCATAAGGTAAGCCCAAAGATTTCAAATAGGAAGCCATAGTTGTGGGTTTTCAGAGACCTTAGCAAGAGAAAAGCTGCACTATTTATTTTTCTGTAGGCAGACAAAGAGTAAAAACTATAAGCTGGCATTTTTTCAGGGAGTGCCTCTAGTCGGTTCAGAACCACTGGCATGTCCCACTTCCCCATGAGATGAACTGGTTGGCTGGCTGTGTGTGTGTGGGCAAAATTACGTGGACTAACTTGCACGTTTTTTTTTTTTTGTTTTTTTTTTTTGAGCTAGTGGCACATATGTAGGGGAGAGAGGTGCAGTAAGTACACTGAGGTGTGCACAATTTTTTGTTGGTGTTAAAACACATAATGGTGCACTAAAGAAATCATTAAAATTAAACAGCAACTCGGTGAGAAAAGCACATACCTCTTAGGCTAGGGATAGAATTTGCACATAAACTGGTATAAATGATCAGAAACCAGTTCAAATCTATAACACAGTAGAAGTTTCAGTGCACATAAACTGGTTTCAGACATTTTTAAAAGTAGTTTAAGATATACCTGGATGGATGTAGTATCAGATTTAACTGATTTTAAACTTACTGAACTTTCTGTCCCAGATCCCCTACAGATTCAAGTTAACTCACAGTCCCCCAGCATACCAGGATGCTTTGCACCTCCTCCACAAACCCCTCCAGGTGGGTGGGCTAGCCTTGACCCAAGCTGTCTGCACCAGACAAGCAGGAAAGGCATGCTCTAGTTTCCCCCAGCTTCTGGCTGGGCTACAGCAGGCATGTGGCTGCATTTCCAGAATCAAAAGTGAATGTCTGTTCACATTTTGTAGGGATTCAATCTACATAGTTTAGACTAACCTGCAAAGATCGAATTGATTCAGCCTCAGGCTTTTTGACTGTCTGTACTTAGCCTTAAAGCCTAGGGCAGGGTTTTGAAAGTGACTGTTGCATTGTTGTGCTGTGATTGCTTTCTATTTCGCTAAGTGTGATAATTTCCCTATTACTTTCCTTGCTGTACGAATCCACCTATCATCTCTTTGGGCAGGAATAGTTTCTATTGTGCATATGTATAGCACACTGCACAACAAGTACCTCATCCCGGAGACCTATATGCCATCACAATAAAGAAACTGTACAACTATCTATGTATTATAATAGCTACTCAGGCCCTGAAAGTGCTACCGCATTATAAGTTACGTGAAATATATAGCAACATTTAGTAGCTAATAAAGAATCTAGGCCCATAGACACTGTGGGTCCCAGCTGAAGAATTGGAAAGTGCATCATGGTTTGGCATCTCTTTGAAGTTTTGGATCAGGTCCGTTTCCTTAAGTATATGGCATCACAAAATGTAAGAGCCATCTTTTTGGTTGACCTATGAGTTATTCTGTGCTGTTCCTCAGACATGAGGATTTCTGGGAGTTTTCCCCAGTCAGAGAACACAGGGAAGGTAGAGTACTCCAGGGATGTACAACCTGCAGCACAAGTGACAGGCAGCCTCTGCGTGACATACGATAGATAAGGGAGGGGACAGGCAGATGGGACAGGAGGCAGAGCAGCAGACTGAGCAGAAGAGGGGGATCGGAGTGGCACTCAAAGAGGGTTTAGGGGTGATTTGTGGCATTCCTATC